CCTAAAAAAAAACGAAAAAGAAAAAAAAGAATTAAAACAATCAAGTCGTGATGAGCTTTCTGACAGCAACACAGCCTCCCCACTCCCCCCACCCCCGGAACCCACAACACAAAGGCTACCCAGCCACAAGGAAAAAGGGGTGGGTGGGGGGGGGGGGTTGCAGCTGATGCCAAAGTAGGGGGAGAGGGGAGGGGGAGGAGGGGAGGGCAATCCAAACCCGACCACTGGCTACATGCTCTCGGCGGATGGAGCAAGACAGTGCAACATTCTGCAAGCGCCATCAGCATTGTCGCGTGTTTTTTTTTTTTTTTTTTTTTTTTTTTTTTTTTTTTTTTTTAATGGAGGATGCATGCTACTCGGGATATTGTGGTTCTGGTGATATCAGAAAACAGGAACTGGGCGGAAAGAAGGAAAGAAAGAGGGATAAAGAAGAAAGAAGAATTAGGAAGGGGGGGGAGAGAAGAAAGGAAAGAAGGAGGGTGAAAGACAGAAGAGACGAAAAGAAGGAGAGGAGGAAGGTGAAAGAAGAGACAGAAAGAAAGAGGGGGATAGAAGCAAGAAGGAGAGGAAGAAAGAAAGAAAAAAAGAGAAAAAAGAGAAAAAAAACAAATCCAAACAACAAACAAAAAACGAGAAAAAGAAAAGCCAAAGAAAAGAAAAGAAAGGAAAGCACAGCACAGGAAAATAGAAGGAAAGAAAATGGAAGACCCATCAATTAGTCGCCGTGGCAGCCCATGGAGCCTCCGTCATCGTGATAGGACAGTTCCTCTATTAACTCTTTCTTATCTCGTGTTTTGCATCTTCCGGCCCTGCGAGGTGGAGGTCGGAACACGAGGCCAATATTATTCCTTACTTCGCTTCTCTACTCCACTAATATTATCCCTTATTTCGCTTCTCAACCCCCTCCCTCACACCCCACTAATATTATCCCTTACGTCGCTTCTCTACCCCTTCCTCACACCCCACTAATATTATCCCTTAGTTCGCTTTTCAACCCCACCAATATTAACCCTTATTTCGTTTCTCAACCCCACCGATATTACCCTTACTTCGCTTCTCAACCCACTACCTCACACCCCACTAATATTACCCTTTATTTCGCTTCTCATCCCCACCGATCTTACCCCTTACCTCGCTTCTCAACCCCACTAATATTACCTCTTACTTCGCTTCTCAACCCCACCTGTAGCTCTTCCCCCATCGCCTTCTCCTCTTCCCCCCAACTGAACTCCTCTCTCGTTCCTCTCTTAACTCCACCCACCTTCTTGCCTCCACTTTGAGCACTTCTCATGTCCTCCATCTCCCTCTTTCCTTCTCCATAGCTATTCTTACCTCTTTCCCTTCCCTACTTTACTTCTCTTCACCATGCCTCCCTCCTCTCCACTTCACCCCACCTCACACCCTCCCTCCATCCCCCTCCACCACCCCTCCCTTCCTCTCACCTCTCTCCACTTCTCCCTCCCTCACACCACCTCCACCCCTCCATCCCCCCCTCACACCTCTCCATCCCCATCCTCCCTCCACCCCCTCCATCCCCCTCCCTCCACCCTCCTTCCCACCTCCCCCCTACCACCCCTCCACCCCATCCTCCACCCACCCTCATACCTCCCTTTCCCATCCCCGCCGCATGGTTACACGGGTGGTCCCTCCTTCACCCAGACTTACACGTCACGGATACCTCATTTTTGCTTGTTTAATTGTGGTGGACAAAGTGCTTGCGGTTCTGGTC